TCTATTTATATAATATTAATTTATATAATATTAATATTAATAATATTTAAGATTAATCAGAGTATTAACTGAGATTTGTTTTTACAATATTTGATTACCTAAAGATTAAAGATTACGTATACCAAGAAATTTATGAATAAATTTCATTAATGATCCTCTTGGTAATACCTTTAGGTAATCATATATTATGAAAATAGGCCTTATTAATTTAAATAACATGTTTTTATTTGGTAATATCTTGTTTACTTCTATGATTCTTGAGATGTTTTCTATCGTTTCCCATAATAAGTAGGTGACATTCTAACATCAGCAAGACGTCATTAGAATATCACTTTGTTGTTTTTGGGTCATAGCATGAGAATTTAATATTAATATTATGCCTTTAATATTAAATATGATTGTATCATAAAAAATTTTAAGTTGTTTTTTTTATGTGCAGTTGCGGTAGTAATTAAAATAAGTTACGGTATCAATTAAAATTCTATTACTGGTTAAACATTTTTTGGAAAGGTGACGCACTTCCAATTAGTTTTCAAAAATTTGAATCACATGATATTTTGCTGTCGCACTGTGCTATGCGTACGAAAAGTCACCTTTACAGTCATCGGCCTAATAACCGGCCGAGGTTATCTCTTCTGCATGAAATTTTATTTTTATGAAATTCTGTTTTTTTATCATGTGCGTTATGCATGTAGGTCATACGCACAATTTTAACAAGGCTCCCCCGGAGATCACCTATGCCTTCGGAGTCGGTTACGATTATGGTAGCGTGATGCACTATTCATCGACAGCGTTCTCCAGAAACTATCAATTAAAAACTATCGTGCCTAAGGTAAGCGATTTTTATAAACATTTTTCATATTTGTTGTTTATGCCAATGCTTTATCATTAATTATTATATATTAATAACATGAATATATATTTGATCGCTCGACAGTTTATGTAGACAGAAAGTTTACCGATTTTGCTAGTTTCATAAAAAAGAAATACATTTTGTAAGTTTGTGAAACGCAAAAAGTATACAGAAAAAAAAATTCTTAAATATTTATGATAAGGCTCAATAAGTATTAAACAACTAATAAATTAAAGAAGACTCTCAAGAATTTCAAATAACAAGAATAATCAGGCTAATGAGAGCTATTCAGCGGTTATTGGTGCGATCATATATATAAGATATGTTAGAGTGTGAATATTATATACCACGTAAGTTCTATATAAACAAATAATCATGTAATTCAGCACTTGCGAGAATTGACAAGATTAGCTATAGACCTCTATTGGCAAGTCGACGTAATGATATTCTTCACAAATTCTTATTTTTCTCCTTCAGTTTTCTCTCTTCAGTTTTAAATTTATTTCTTTTTTTAATATTTAATTTAAAGATTTTAATATATCTTTCAACATATTATTAAGATCTTATTAGATGCTATAAGCATCAAAAATTTGTGATATTACTACGGTAGTTAATTAGATTTGCGTTTTAAGTTCGACGAAATGTTCGGCGCGCAAGGGGGGAACTACTTACGTGGTATATAATATTCACACTCTAACATATCTTACGCACCAATAACCGCTGAATAGCTCTCATTAGCCTGATTATTCTTGTTATTTAAACAACTAATATAATGAAATAAGGGCAATGAGTCAATTTTCATTAAAATCTTTAAATCAATCTAATATATTGCGAAGAATATCACGTAATTATGGCGTTTCGTCCCAACTTCCACTACTGGACTCATCAGTAAGGCATTGTAGTGGAAGCCTACCTTAGACGCCTATTTTAGTTATTAAATCGAGATTCTATATATACAGATATACGCGTATCAAAGCACTTGCGAGAATCTTAGCGAATATCTATAGACCTCTGATGGCGGGTCGACGTAGTAATATTCTTCATCAGTAGTGGAAGTTGGGACGAAACGCCATAATTACGTGATATTCTTCGCAATATATTAGATTGATTTAAAGATTTTAATGAAAATTGGCTCATTGCCCTTATTTCATTATATTAGTTGTTTAAAAAATTCTTATTTTGAGAATATCTTTATTTTCAACATATAAGGCTTGAAATAAGATTATATGTATAGCGTTAAATCGACATAATTTGCTTACATGAAGATATTTGAACTAGTTACACCAAGAAAAATATATTCTCATTATTCAATAATAATGTTCTTGATTTGAGAGGAAATAATATCGGATAAAAAATTACAATATATAATATTTAAATCGAAAATTAGAATATCTTTAAATTGAAATTAAATTATTTTTATTTCACTATATCTTACTCTTAAAAAAACTATTTATATTATTGAATTGTCTGATTGAAAAATTTCATAATAACAATTCCTTAGCCTTATTTCAAATGTTCTTTAATATTTACGAATCTTGTTGTATTGTCAAAAAAAAGTTATCATATATATTAATGATTAAACGATATCAATTATTATTCTGTAATATATTCCAAGTAACTTTATTATGTCATTTAATAAAAACGAATATATTCTTAAAAGAAGTTTAACGTATGTTTAACACTACATAAAATTAAAGTAAAAATAACAGTTTTATCTTCTTGATATGATCCTTTAAATGTTAAAAGAAAATACTGTTATTATCAAAATAATCATATTTTGTTTTTCAGGTAACTATTATAACTTTGACATAAGAATATAACATTGTTGAAAGTTGAGATTATCAAATTCTTTAAAAAAGACTTTGTATTGTTACTTATATAGGAAACAATGAAATATAATCATTTTAAGTTGAGAATAACTTTTTTTCTGTGATGTATACGTCGAATTGTATTGTATTATGTAGATTATATATATTATTGTATTATATATATCTACGTGTTTTATGTGTCCTTAGAGACAACTAAACGGTGGAATATTGGATCTTATTGGCGGAATATTCCAAGAAAACAGCGAGGTAAAACTCGGTCAGAGGGAAGGCTTCAGCAAGAAGGACATTCTGAAAATCAGGAGGATGTACAGATGCGGCAAACGTACTGGCATAGTCAACTATGATTATCAATACTGATGAATGAATACTGGTGAATTAGTAACATTTTCGTGCGTGTTAAAACAATAAAATGTTTTAGGTATTAGAGAATTAATTAATAAGAATCTTCCCGTATATACATATATAATAAAAAAGAAAAAACATCTAGTCTTATGTGCAAAGGATACGATTGTTTGTTTAAAGACACTATGTGAACAACTAGTATAAACAGTATTATTATATAATTTTATTAATATAGTTAATATAATTATGATCATATATTTTAATATTATGAATGTGTATTTTATAAGTTACATATAATATTATAATATACAAATGTATTATATCTTTTCTTATTGAATTTTTAACTTTTTCTTTGTTAATTGAATAGTGTGTGATGGAATATTAAAATTTATAAATAAAAACATAACCGGACATTACCAATTGATAAAGAAAATGTTACGTATAATTCCTACTGGTAAAATATATTCAAATAGATGAGCTATATCGCGATAAAATATTTGTTACTGATATATCAATTTAAACGTATTTTTACAATATAATCTCCTACTAAATTTATTTTTGCAGAAATATAGATAAATATAGCAACCGAATGTGATTGCCATAGTCATCTATATTTCAAATGCTCATTAAAAGTTATATATTAAAAGTTAATGCGATTACTTTTAATGAGTACTTGAAATATAGATAAATATGGCAATCAAATATGATCAAGACATTTTCTAAGATAATATCATTTTCTGAGAAAAGATAATATTAATGTCATGTCCGATTTCTCATGCGTTCTAAACTGTACAAACATATAATTAGACATAAACTTATTTTATTCACCTATTCAAACTTCTCAACTTATTCAAATTGTAATATAAAAAAGTTATTAAAAATTTTATTTTAATTATATGAATTTTACTACATATATAATATTATACTGATCGTTTATTTTATGTTAGAAACTGTTCTTGTATTTTCTGTCTCTTATATAAGTTTTTATTTGTGAATTACACTAGCACGGTCATCACAAATATCAAAAAATTATAGATTATATCTTGATTAACAAAAGTCTGTCTAGAAAAATCAAAGTAGAACAAAATATACAATACGATAAGATCATTTAATTAAATGCTCAAGTTAATCAAAGACTGATCGTAATCATCATAGCAAGTTTGTATTACTAAATATTATCTTTATTCTTTAATATGATCTATCTATTGATCACCTTAAATTGGACAGAAGGGGCAGAACATTTTTGAGATGAAATATATAAAAAGAGAAATGATTATAAAACTCTCTATTATTGTTTCGTCGTCACTATATAGTAAATCGGTAACTTGCTGATTTAACGTTGATCATGTCGGGTCTACCGTCAGCGTGGACGTTTTTTGTTCTTACAATAACATTTGTGTCGGCATTGCCAATCTTTGACGTAGAGGATACTTTACAAGTAGCCTTGACAATCCCGGACAACGAAACGGGAGTTAAAGTATCACAATGGACCGTAAATATGAACATGAATCCTGAAGAATTGGGTAACTATATGGAAGGAGATATTATGATCGCAAAAGGCACCACACTACGAAATGGTGCAAAAGATGAAAAGCTTCGTTGGCCTAATGGTGTTATTCCTTACGTAATCATGGGTAACTTCAGTAAGTACGATGAAAATTTAGCCATTTTATCGATCAATTTGTTTATTTATCAAACCAATTATTCTATATACAATGTGTTATAATTATAGAAAGAAAATCTAATTTAACTAGTACATTAATCCTTTATCAAATCATGTCAATAAATAAAAATAATGAATGAGTTAGCAGTTTTGTATTACTATTATATTATATATATTATATACAATATAGTGTTTTATGCATACACAATATTTTATAAAAACATGAGTATTATACAAGAACAATAATAATAATATCACGCTCGAACAATTTAAAAAACAACAATAAATGAACGACCCTTACGAGCAAAACAATTAGATCTTAATAATTAAAGTATTATAATATTTAGATTTAATATAATCTTACATAAAACATCATACATGAAAATTCAAACGTTTCGGCTACACAGAGCCTTCATCAGTGAATTACAATAAATTATTAACAATCGTTAATTTGATGGAACCATAAATTTCGGTAACAATTAATTTAGGATCTTGGAGTTTACAACCTTCTTTTTGGTGTCCTTCTTCTTTTCAATCCCATAACAATCTCATCAATCAATTTAGTCATATTAAAATCCAAAATAGAATTTGATTGTTTAGAGGCGAGAAATTCAATTATGTCAAGCAAATCTAAATACATAATAATAATTACAAAAATAAGTCATCATTAATCTTAATAGGCTATTAATACGAAGTAAAAAACTTACATTGTCCAATCCTTAAAAAACTTTCAAATTAAATAATTAAAAAGAAGAAGAGCAACCACAAATAACATGTTGAAGTATCTCATGACAACAATGTAATGAACGAACACAGAAACAAATGAAAGTCAACCGACAAACTCAAATTACAAATAATAATATAATTGGTTGACAATAACGGAAATAATCATAAGCTTATTGGAAACATCAACTTTATACAAGAGAATATAAGGTTATAATTGGTTAACAATAATATCTTAAAGGTTCGAATATTTCCGTGTCGAAATCTCATTAAAATAGAAATATAAGATTCACTCAATAGCTCAGTATCTCTCATATAATTCAACCCTTTTGATTGTTCCTTAATGTGTAACATCTCTGAAATCAATCTTTTTTTATAATTGTGTTCCACATCCATAATGTCGACATTTTCCCAATCAAAACTATGACCATAATCAATAATATGTTGAGAAATTACTGAGTGCTTAGACGAATCCATTCTTATGTTATTTCTGTGTTCTTTAATTCTAGTTTGTAACTGTCTTTTTGTCTGACCCACATAAGTAGAATCACAATCTCTGCAATTTTATTTCATAGACTACATGGCTTTTGCAATTCTTATTGGTAATATCTTTCTGAACTTTAATGAACTTGTCCAATCTGTTTAAGGTACTATGGCCTATCAAGGTATCAGAAACATCAATAACATCCACCACCTTTTCAGAAATGCCTTTAATAAAGGGAACAACTAAATGATTTTTTTTCATTATTTATTTCTGTTTTTATTGAGAGAGAATTCACTATTATCAAAATTAACCTTGCATCTTTCTATCAAGCATTTTATCCTTCTATTAATAATATTAAAAATGTAATCCAACGGATAACTATTAACAATCAACATTTCTATGCATAAATAAATGTTTTTATAGAAAAAGGAAGGATGGGACAAAAGAATTGCTCTATCTACCAATCCATAAACTATTCCTCTCTTTATGCATTTTGGATGGTTCGAATAAAAAGAAAGATAACGGCCTGAACATTTTTTTTGTGAAACCAATCTATAATTAATTTATTATCCACCACATTCAAGGATAAGTCCAAAAAATTGATACTTCTATTACTTTCATACTCGATAGTAAACTTCAAACGGTCATGATAGCTATTGAAGACCTCAAAAATCTTATCGACTTCCTCTCTTTTAGCCATACATGTCTTAGCCATACATGTCTTCAACATATGTTATTTGTGGTTACTCTTCTTCTTTTTAATTATTTAATTTGAAAGTTTTTTAAGGATTGGACAATGTAAGTTTTTTACTTCGTATTAATAGCCTATTAAGATTAATGATGACTTATTTTTGTAATTATTATTATGTATTTAGATTTGCTTGACATAATTGAATTTCTCGCCTCTAAACGATCAAATTCTATTTTGGATTTTAATATGACTAAATTGATTGATGAGATTGTTATGGGATTGAAAAGAAGGACACCAAAAAGAAGGTTGTAAACTCCAAGATCCTAAATTAATTGTTATCGAAATTTATGGTTCCATCAAATTAACGATTGTTAATAATTTATTGTAATTCACTGATGAAGGCTCTGTGTAGCCGAAACGTTTGAATTTTCATGTATGATGTTTTATGTAAGATTATATTAAATCTAAATATTATAATACCTTAATTATTAAGATCTAATTGTTTTGCTCGTAAGGGTCGTTCACTTATTATTGTATTATACAAGAATATTATATTTATTAATTATATTTATTCTTTTTATTTCAATGTATAATATATATATATATATAAATATATATGTTATAAAACATTATATTTTTTAAGAATATGATAAAAAACTTTACTTTTTTTGTATTTAATGTATTTATTAATTTAGCTTATAGTATGTTACATTTCAAAATATCCAAGATTAAAACATGTTGCAGACGTTAATTTATTCTCAGAATATATATATCAATTATCCCATTCTTAGCACTGTTAAGATGAAATGAAATAACAATACATTTATTATTATTAAGAAATACATGTAAATATACCTTATAGTCTACTAAACGCACTACTAACTGCGATCAATTTATTAGCTCTCAATTGTCCGTTAAGATATTTAATTTATTTTTATTATTTACACGTTGATAAATTTTGTATCGTAGATGACACTCAATTACATCTTATATATGAGGCAATGAAGGAATATGAGAAGTATACATGTATCAAGCTTAAACCGAGAACAGACGAAAGGGATTACGTTAAATTTGTTAGTTATAATAATGGATGCTGGAGCTACGTTGGCAAAATTGGCGGTGTACAATTAATAAACTTACAATCTCCTGGTTGTGTAACAAAAAAGGGTACTGTAATACATGAAATTATGCACGCTACTGGCTTTTGGCACGAGCACACTAGAGATGACCGAGATGATTACGTGACTATCAACTGGAATAATATTAAAGAATGTACGTATATTTATAATTTAATAAGAGATTTAAAATAAGAATTGATTTTCTTAAATAAATATTTCAAAGATTGTGTGTTATACCATAAATGTCTTAATTGCACTGTCATTTATTATATTAAATATTTAATATCTATAATTTTATAATATTACTATATCAATTGAAATTGAATTATAAACAGCTCAAATAAATTAACAAATTAAAATTAACAATAAACCTCCCAGGTCAAGAATAAATTGAGCAATAATGGTTGTTAAATATATCTATAAATTTATTATAATGATAACATTAATATACGGTACGTTTCGACTTCACAGAGTCCTCATCAGCCGTAAAAAACCCCTTAACAGATGAACCCAATTTCTTCTTAAGACATTCGAAATTACTACGACCACACTATATGTCCTAACTGTGCAGATGGTCAACACGTTAGTGACAAAGATTCAATACATATCCAGTCAACCAGACCCCCCCTCCACCCCACCCACATGTTTACATTTCTATCCATCGTCAGAAACACGTTTAAGCAAATGAACATATATGTCATCGAGAGATTCAGTATCCTTTTTCAAATTAATACCATTTAATTGTTCTTTTATATGTAATGTCTCTGATATTGATCTCTTATTATAATTAGATTCGGAGTCCATAATTTTCATATTCTTCCAGTCAAAGACATAATTGCACTCTAATGCATGGTTTGTTAAAACTGAATGTCTAGATGCATCAAGTTTTCTATTATTTATTCTTAAGACATTCGAAATTACTACGACCACACTATATGTCCTAACTGTGCAGATGGTCAACACGTTAGTGACAAAGATTCAATACATATCCAGTCAACCAGACCCCCCCTCCACCCCACCCACATGTTTACATTTCTATCCATCGTCAGAAACACGTTTAAGCAAATGAACATATATGTCATCGAGAGATTCAGTATCCTTTTTCAAATTAATACCATTTAATTGTTCTTTTATATGTAATGTCTCTGATATTGATCTCTTATTATAATTAGATTCGGAGTCCATAATTTTCATATTCTTCCAGTCAAAGACATAATTGCACTCTAATGCATGGTTTGTTAAAACTGAATGTCTAGATGCATCAAGTTTTCTATTATTTATATATATTCATTTACTCTAGTACTTAATTTCCTCTTTAATTAATAACTCTGATTCCATAATTTCATTGGATGTAACTTCTTTATTCACAAATATTCCTCATAATTTGATAATTGACAGCATTAATAAGAGATGGAATTATATAGAACAAAAAACTACTATCCCTAAGAATGAATTCATAAATGCCATTACGTTTGTCTTATCTTCGACATTTTTTAAATTTAACAATACAATATTTATGATAAGGCTCAATAAGTATTAAACAACTAATATAATGAAATAAGGGCAATGAGCCAATTTTCATTAAAATCTTTAAATCAATCTAATATATTGCGAAGAATATCACGTAATTATGGCGTTTCGTCCCAACTTCCACTACTGGACTCATCAGTATGGCATTGTAGTGGAAGTCTACCTTAGACGCCTATTTTAATTATTAAATCGAGATTCTATATATACAGATATACAGATAAATTGGCTCATTGCCCTTATTTCATTATATTAGTTGTTTAATACTTATTGAGCCTTATAAATATTTAATTTACGCGGTCGAAATCAATGCGTTTAAATTTCAAGTAAATTAAGGGGACGTTATTTCAGATTATTAGAGTTGCGTTTCAAGACCGAAGATAGTTCGGCGCGCAATTTGGGGGGGAATTTTCAAATAGAGTTGCGTTTCAAGACCGACGATTGTTCGGCGCGTAAGTTGGGG